AAATTGCAAACCGTATTTTGTTGTGTTCCTGCTCAATCATTGCTTAGGGAAAGAATCACAGGCTGCAGCTTATACACAGGTCTTCCCAAAGCCACATGTTTCCCCCCTTCTACCTTTCTCATTGTATTGCACTTAGGGTTTTGAGACTTCTGGCAGGCCTGCTGCTAGCCTACAGGTTGTCTTTGTGAAAATTAGAAAAAGACTTCCTACTTTCCTTTGAGTGGATACGGTCCTGGGTCAAGGTACTGATCTTACATGGAAGATGGGCTGGAATTTTTGTCTCTTTTGTGCCAACTGGGTGTCCTCATGCAGAATAAAAACTGTACAACCCTATGTGGTAGCATTGCTGATCAAGTGGTGTGGAACAGAAACTCCATCCAAATAGGTATGAAAGAGATCAAGTAAATCAACTAGATCTTCTTAAATTGTGTATATGGGTGGGGTAAGGAGATTTAAAATGATATACGAGATTTATTGGAAGTGGGAAGCATAATCATGAATAAACAAGACATAGATAAGTAAAAATAATGAGAGAAAAAGTGATAGAGAATGAGTGAAATAATTGGCTCAGGAGCTGAATCACGACAATGGTAAGCACTGAATTGCTATAATCACTATAATACAAGCACTATTGTTCAGAAAGCAACAATAAGTCACTCACTATGGCTGTTTTGAATCCTGCTTCCTATTAACAAACTACATTCTTAGGAGGCCAGGTCGTACATCTTTTCTGAGTTCTTGCGAAGCTGCCAGATTCCAGTCTTTCTTTAAGAGTTGTGTATGTATTTCTGGAATAACTTCTCATCAATTATTGAGAAACCAGCAAATCTTTATATCTTGCAGTCAAAGAGTTGAGTAACACAGTCTTTCCTTCTTTAAGTCTTGATAAAAAGCAAACTAGTTAAACCTTGTTCTGATAATATATTCCTATAGGAAATAATTACAGTAGTTGCAGGGGTATGAACATAGAAGGATGGTTCTTTAATGATGTGATTTGACATAGAAATGAGGCTTGGATATACAATTATATATGGATAGCATGACCCTTGAAAGTAGGAAATCATATAATTTATCTTCCAAAATGGGACACTTTTGAGAATGAAATGAAAATGTTATTAATAATCAGGGAAGCACAAAGGGTATAAAGCATACTCTCTAAGACAAGCCAAGAAATATATTCACTGTAATTTTAAAAAATCACATTGGTTGGGCTTGATAGTTCAGCTTGTAATCCCTGCAATTTGGGAGGCCAAGGCAAGTGGATTGCCTGAGCCCGCAGGTTCAAGACCAGCCCGGGCAACTTGGTGCGACCTTGTCTCTACAATAAATAAAAAAGTTGCTGGGCATGGTAGCACATACCTGCAGTTCTGGCTACTTGGAAGGCTGAGGTGGAAGGATCGCTGGAGCCCAGTGGGTCGACATGATGGCCGAAAGTGTCCAGCCTTGGCGACAGAGTGAGACTACAACTCAAAACAAACAAACAAACAAAAAAATCACTTTAATTGCAAATTTCTCAACCTGGATTTTTGATAGGAAGAAAAATAACAGAGGTTTCCCCTCTTCTTAAGTAGAATGTTAGTTTCCTTCTATTTTTTTAAGTTGGACTTTTACTCTGTCACCCAGGCTGGAGTACAGTGGCACAATCATGGCTCACCACAGTCTTGACTTCCTGGGATCAGGCAATCCTTCCACCTCAGCCTATCAAGTGGCTGGGACTACAGGTCCATGCCACCATGCCTGGCTAATTTTTTGATTTTTTTTTTTTGTAGAGACAAGGTCTTGTTGTATTGCCTAGGCTAAAGCTTTTTTTTTCCTTCTAGCTTTGGCCTCCCAACATGATAGGATTACAGGTGTGAGCCACTGTGCCTGGTTGAATGTAAGTTTCTTGAGGGCAGGGAATTTTATATCCTGTCACCTAACAGGTGTCTGCAAAAAATTTGATTCCCCTCCCTTCCTCATGTTTCTCATTATAAATGTAAAATGGCACTTTTTAAAAACATGGGGTTTATAAAGGGAACATTAGATGACTGCAAATGGAATCACTAAGATGATAAAAGCTTGAAGTCAGAGGTTCTTAATTGGGAGTAATTCTGCCACTGTCTGGAGACTTTTAAAAGTATATATACTTCTGACATCTAGGAGGTAGAGACCAGGGATGCTGCTAAACATCCTATGACAGCCCATCATAGCAATGAACTATCCAAATAATCTAGTGCTGAATTTTGAAGGATAATTTTGCAGGGTACATATTCTATGTCGATGAGATTTTTTTTTCCCCCCTCAACACTTTAAATATTTCATCCCATTCTCCTCTTGCTTGTGTAGTTTATGAGGCGAATCTGGATGCAATTCTTACTTTGGTTCCTCTATAGGTAGGGTGTCCCCTGCTCCCCAAGCTTCTCTCAAAATTTTCTTCTCATCTTTAATTTTCTGTAGTTTGGAAATAATTTGCTTTGGTGTCGTTTTTGGGTATTTACCTGCTTGGTGTTCTCTGAGATTTCTGGATCTGTAGTTTGGTGTCTAACACAAATTTGAATAAATTTCTGTCATTATTGTTTCAAATACTTCTTCTGTTCCTCTCTTCTCCTTTTGCTGATCCCATTATGTGTATTTTATACCATTTGTAGTTGTCCCACAGTCCTTGGATAACTACTTCTGTTTTCTTTTTAGTCCTCTTTTTGGTTTTCAGTTTTCAAATTTTCTGTTAATACAGCCTTAAGTTCAGAGACTTTTTTCCTCAGCTGTGTCAAGTCTACTAGTAAGACCATCAAAACAATCCTTCATTTCTATGACAGCATTTTTTTTGTCAATCTCTAGCATTTCTTTATGGTTCTTTTTTAGGATTTCTCACTCTCTTCTTACATTGTCAATCTATTCTTGCATGCTGTCTACTGTACCCATTAGAACCTTCAGCATATTAATCGTCCTTGTTTTAAATTCCTGGTCTGGCAATTCCAACTCCTTGCCTTATCTGAATCTGGTTCTGATGCCTGTTCTGTCTTTTCAAACTGCAATTTTTGCCTTTTTACAAGCTGTAAATTTTGCCTTGCAATTTTTTTCTTGATAGTCAGACATAATGTATTGGGTAAAAGGAACAGCTATAAATAAGCCTTTAGTGATATGGTAGTAAGGCCTGAGAGAAGGGAAATGGTTTGCAGTCCTATGATTAGTCTCAGTCTTTTAATGAGCCTGTGCCTCTGTGTTATGATCTTGCCCAGTGATTCTCAGTATTTTTCCTTTTTCTTGGGTGGGAAAGCATGGCTAGGGAAGGCTGGAGTTGGACACCACCTGTGTCCTAAATGGAGGGTTAGAGTTGGCTAGAGTTGGATGTTTTCCTTCCCCCAGGTCAATGAGGCTCTGATAAAACCATAGCGGGTGAGGCTCTGATGAAATTGTCTCTGTTTAGGGCAGATATTGTTAAGAAGAAGAGAGTGCTCTGATATACTTCAAAATGGTTACTTTTTCACTCCCCTTGCAGGAAGCACAAGGGGACTTTTCTCTGATATTCACCAGAACCAGACTGAGTCCACGGAGGTAAAACTCACAAAAGTATGGGGGCCACCTTATGATTGGTTTCCTCTGTAGTTTTTAATTTTAAAGTTGTCCACAGTAAGCCTTTAATAATGACAATTTGCATTAATTTGTCAATGACTGTTCAGGTTTTCCTACTCTGGCACTCATTTCTGTGCAGGTTTCTGCGTAAGTTGTGAATCTCTATGTTTGATTATCTCTACAGTTTGGGGGCAGCAGTTTACCCTCTGATTTCATTTCTCTTACTGATTCAAGAAGAGTTGTGGGTTTTTATGTTTGTGTAGATTTTATTAGCCGTTAAGACTGACTGCAAACTGTCTACTATAAGTATTTTTGTGAAAAGTGACTGAGGTAACATTTGTGATGTCCTTAACATAGTATCTATTAACAGGCAAAGTGTTCAGAAATATTAAAGATATGCACTAAAGGTCTGCACCAAAACCAGTTGGAAGGAAGATAAGTCCAATATGTTAAAAACCTTACAAAGTCTGAAATAAAGTAACTAGTACAGTATATAAATGTCTATTCTCATTTATTTATGCAAAACTAGGAGGGTCTCTGTTTTAGTGACTAAATAAAAATATTTTAAAGAATCATATTGATTGTGTTATTACTAGTAGCACATATGTAGAAATTAAAATAATCTTATAGTTATCATTTATTATGTACATTGTGTTAAAAACTTTATGTATATTGCCCTATTTAATCCTTCCTAAATCCTATAATTTTTTTACAGCCATTTTACAGGTTAGGGAACTGACTAACACCAGTTCAATTGCTTAAGTAATAAAGCAATTGGAAATGAAATGACTAGCTGGTATAATAATTAGTGATATATTAACTATAACTTAATTATTATTTAATAATTTCAACAATACATTTTAATAATAATTATAATAGCTTAATCATGCCTGTGTAACTTTTCTATTTCAAGAGATCCATTTCATTCCTTTAACCACCTATTGTACTCTTATTTTCAATTTATAATCAATTCAAAATACCACAGTATACCACATTTGGCTCATTTGAATCATACTGAAAGTTTTTTTCCCCTCAATGTTAGAATATTTATTACTATCAGTCAACCAGCTTACCTTTCTGCTTTCAACCATAGTTAATACATTATTAGCTCTTAGGCCTCCTATGATATTAGAACTTTCCATTATTTCTAATTCCCATTTGTACTGTTGTCTTGCTTTTTAACTTTATTTTGATTTGTGAATTGGTGCATTTTTAACTCAATAAACTTAAAGGAGGAAACTCTCTGGAAATGTACAACAGCAAACTATCTACAATTATAGGAAGGATAAAATGGAATAAAGATGCAGAATGTTTGGTTTCAATATAATTTAGACTTTTTCACAAATGGGAGAAAGGTACAAGGTGTATTATTTTGTATCATCTCAATTTCATTACCCCATAGAAATTCTTCTGTCCTTTATGAAAATAATGAATAATCATATACTGACCTTGGACTCATCTAATCCAAGTTTCTTTAAAGACTTTCTGACATACTCCAGAAAGGAAGAACATTTGGAATAAATTTTACCAACATGCCGATCACTGCAAAGAAAAATTGAATAATTATAATTTTTTAGTTTTTCTAATTTAACTTATAGGTGGTTTGAAATTCAATCATGAAATATTTAAAAAATATCTTCTGTGTATATGGCACAAGATCCAGATGTGATCAAAATGTAGAAAAGTTTCTGTGAACATTTTAAAGCTACAAATTACAAAGTATGCAGGATCTGCTTCTGAAAATTCTTACAACATACAGCAGTGAAAGACAATATTATGGAGACAATATTATGAGAAAGAAGTTTTAAACTTATAGAATTAAAAAGTCTCATTTTTTAAAAAAGGAACTATAAGTCTTTCAAGTTTCCATTGTGCTACAAAACAGATTTCAGTTTTACTGGCTTATTATAACAGTGCACATTTCATTGCAACACCTGCTAATAGAGGCAATAATTCAACAGCTATGCCAAGAAGATTTCTTCAATACTAGCCATTGACCAAGTACCATATGCTGAGCTGGGTCTGATTTGATCTCATTTATGCTCTGCAGGTTTTTACTATAATTAAACAAAAATCATGAGATGGCTTGAATTTAATCAATAAAATGCTAGTATAATGTAAAAGTCAAGGGGTTAAAGAAAATCATCACTTACAAGTTATCAAAGACAATAAAGAGAGTCTCATTTATTCTTAGCAGTGCAATATTAACCCCTCTGGTTAAATAGACACAATGTTCTATTAAGTCTTCCTTTAAAATATATCTCAAAGGTGTGCCTTCAGTTCATTTCAAGAGGGCCACCTCAATTCCACTTTGTATTACCCCATGTCCTGATTACTGAAACTATTCCTAATTAAGACCTTTAACTGAAGTCCCTCTGCTTCATTTCTGCCTACATGTCATTTTCAAAGACCATTTATATTGTCAGTTTCCTGCTCTGGAAAAGATTTCAGTACGTCACCCATTTCTTGGGATAAATCTGAAACTTCTTAGTAAAGCAACCAGGACCCATTATATCCATATTTCCCATCTGCATATCCCTTTACATTCCAGAACTTAGTTTTTCTCCCTAGATAAGCCTGCTCATTGTTTCAGACTGTCCTCCTCACTTCTGCCTTGCACGTTTGCTCATTCAGTCACCAATTAAAAGATTATCAGGTTCCCCACTCTTCTCAATTTAATTGAACTGGAGTCATTCTTTATGACAAAGTGTAAATGCACATGTTCTTTTTGGTAACATGACTAGAAATAATCTTTTCTAATTTTGAACTTCTATATCCCTTATCCTTCTTCCATGCATTTGTTATTTTATCACTGCCTTGGATAAGTACGGGTTCCAGGAGGCAGAAAAGAATATTTTTATGTTTCTCTATATATATACTTTTGTATCTTGTATATAGCATCATATAATAGATATATAGCTTATGTTTCACAGAATATTGATTAACTGTGTAGCTAGAAAAAAGATGCTATTTAATATCAGCTTCTTGTTCCTCCCCTTAAAATGGTTTTTAAGCTTGGATTTAAAAAAAAATACTGAGGTACAAGAACTTAAGTCATTTCCACGAGCCAGTAATTCTGACTCTAATTTTGTACTATTCATTGCTATCTTATAGAGAAGCTCTTGAGAGAAGGCACAAAATAGCCAAGAAGAATGTGGCTTCTAGTCAGACTGGATCTATCATCTATGAATTCCTTTTTCATAAAAATGAGATAACAATAGTATTTACTTTGTAGAGTCACTGTGAGAATTAAATTAAGTAACACATATACGGTGCTCAGAACAAAGTCATGATGTAAGCTATTGTTGTTACTATTATTGTTGTTGTTTGTAAAATTACTGGAATTAGAATCTAGATTTTTTTTTTTAAATTACAGAGTTAAGACCAAGAGTAAGATGTTCACAAGTAAGTGCTAACCATTATATGTTGAAGAGAGAATATAGTGTAAGTGTAGGTGGTATAGATTTGTTCCCTGGTAATATATTTCATGCTGCTTGAAAATAAGAGAAACATTTTCAGTTTTAATTTATCCTTGTCTTACTTTTACTTTTCAAAATATACTACAATATTTGTTTTTGCAAAATATCACAGTATGATTATTATAAGATTGCTTTTAGAGTGTTAAGCAGTAATTTGCTACATAAGATTTAAAAAAAAATCTTTTGTTAATCTGCACCGTTTCAGACCTGTTTTTAGCAATAACCAGGAAAAAATGTCAAACAAATAGAATTAGAAAGGTGATTATTTGATATGTTACTTCTCTTTTAATTCTTGAAGAGCTTTATGAATCGTAGGACTAAGATGTAAATCCTTAAAACAGTATATAAACCTGATGTGATCGGGTCCTCTTTTGACTTTTCCAACATTTTAAAATGACACTGCCTCCTCAGCAACACTGGCATTCTTTCAGTTTCTTGAGCACACCATGCTTTTAGTTAGAAATAATTTTCTTGGAATACTCTACTCTTAATCCTCTTGCTTTGGGAACCCCAAACTTTTCCTTCAGATCCTATCTTAAATGTTGCTCCCTTAGATAAGCTTTCCTGTCCCTCTAGAAGAATTCAGGCTCCTGATACAGAGATCCTGTCCATCACATAGCCCCTCTTCTTTGTTTCCCTGATTATCTGTTTCTCCTTTGATATTACAAGCCAGCAAACCTCTCCAAAGCAGGGGAATGCACCCCAAGAGAAAGAGAATATTAAAAAATTTACTTTTATTTTATCTTTTTAAAAAAATTCAAAGTTTGTGTTTATTATAATATCTATTCAACACACTCATGGAAAGACGTATATCACTTACAAATATATATTAATTTTTGCATGCATGTTCAAAAATGTTTATTGACAGAGTTGTGAAATGTAACAGTATGTTTGAGATCACTACTCTAAGTAGCTGGAGAACAGAGCTTTTGTTTTGCTCATGACTATCTCCCCAAAACCTAGCACAGTACCTCACATAGCAGGATCTCAATGAATAACTTAAATCATTAAATAAATCAATCATCTATCAGATTGTAGAAATACATACATATAGTTATACTATAATAAAAAAATGCATTAACATAGTAAAGAGATCTATTTATGTAACCAAATAGATATGAGTATAGTTAGTCTTCATTATACAAACAAGTGTAATTTAAAACATATAGATAATTACTGAAGAAGTATATAAGAAAAAGTATAAAGGAAACAATATAAACAACAATAACAGTTGATATTTCTTTTGCACTTACTTTGTGCCAGTGATACTTAAATCCTTTGCTGTATTTAACTCATTTAATCCTCACAACAACCCTGTGTAAGACATCCCATTATTATTGCCATTTTAAAGATTTCAATGAGGTCAAGTAAACTACCCTACACCTCACTTCAGAATCTGGAATATTAACTACTAGTCAGTATCCTACAGCATAGTACTTAACTGGAATTCATAATCAATATTGGAATTAAATGGAATTCATAATCAATATTGTTAACCTGCAGATAAAGAATGGCCACCCCTGTGCTAGCAGGTAAATAGATGTAAGCAGATTTCATGGCAACCTGGCAGAATATGTGTATATATTTGTAAAGAAAAGCTATGCAGATCTTCCTGATATATTCAGGGAAAAAGAATTTTAGTGCAACTATATATAGTAAATAATTCTCATAATTAAAAAATTATGAGAAGATGTACATGTTTTAGGAGGAGACTTGTTCTTTCTAAGTCACTTAGACTACTAAGTGCTAGACTTACTGACCAAACGCATAAGCAGTTAGGACCAGTCATATGTATGTAAATTCTTTTCAAATGGTACTCGTGTTAATTAGGTCATTTATGAATTCATCTCAAAAAACATGCTTTAAACTATTGTACATGCATGATAGTGTAGTGGCTGGCATAGGTTTTATTTGAACTCAAGACTGAATAGGCTTGAATTAATACTTATTAACACTTAACTTCTTTGTCTCTCCTTTACCATCAGTAGAATGGCATTAAATGTATCTCATAAGGCCGAAGATAAAAATAAAGTACTACTGTACTTGCCTCAAAAAAAAAAAAAAAGGATATTTTTTAGGCCAGGTGTGATCCCTGTACCTCATGCCTGTAATCCCAGTAATTTGGGAGGCCAAGGCAAGAGAACTGCCTGAGTCCAGGGGTTCAAGACCAGACTGGGCAACTTAGTGAGACCTCGTCTCTACAATAAATAAAAAAATTAGCCGGGCATGGTAGTGAGTGCCTTTAGTTCCAGCTACTTGGAAGGCTGAGGCAGAAGGGTCGCCTGAGTCCAGCAGGTCGAGGCTGTGGTGGACCTGAGCAAGCCACTGCACTCCAACCTGGGCAACAGAGTGAGACTCTAACTAAAAAAAAAAAAAAAAAAAATGTGAGGAAAAAAAGGATATTTTTCAGAAATGTCAGTTTAGGGCTATCACCAAACCAATAGATTATCAAGTACAATGAATCAGACTTTTAGAACTTTTGGAGGACATAGGGCAATCTCTAAAGTCTGGGTGTTTTACAAAGTAATCTTAAAAATAATATCTGCAGAGTGAGTTTATAATGTAAAACATAATCTGCTCTTTTATAGTTGCAAGGAAAGGAGACTATTTCATTCATCAGTACATAGAAGGGTCTACAATTTTAAGGATAATGCACTTTTTATTCATTTATCTTAGAGTTAGGGTTTTACTTTATTTCCCAGGCTGGATCACAGTGGTGTAATCACAACTCACTGCAGTCTCAAACTCCTGGGCTCAAGTGATCCTCCTGCTTCAGCCTCTTGCGTAGCTAAGAATAAAGGCATGAACCACCCCTTGACACCTGGCTAAATTCTGCAATTGTATATATTAGTTAAGAAACAGGGGGAAAAAGGACAGGCTTAAGAATCTTTAACTTTCTGCATGGAAAGTAAAAAGGCAGAATAGAATTATTCACAAATGGGATATGGGGCATGTTATATTTTTCAGTAATGTGAGTCTTTTTTGAGAAAGAGCTAGCTATAAAAGAAAGTTCACCATCTTTAATTTCAATAAGAGTACCATTTATGGCATTGCGGCCCAATA